TATATATATATATATATATATATATATATATAACGCGACTATTTCGATCTGTAACTATGGGTAAACATAACTCATAAAAATGCCTTTTTTGTATAATTTGAAGAGGCTGTCCCAGACATCAACATGATCATACCTACACCTTCAGATATAGAATCTCATTTCCCTTTTCTTCTGGATATCACGATCGTTGTTCCTGTCGTCACTTCTGTTGTCATCGTCATCATCATTATCGTCGTAGGTTGCGTCTTATGTCGGCGTCGTAATTCTCATTACAGTCCTAGTAGTGGTATGTTTATAATAAATATAGTTGTCATAATGATGATGTTGAATACCTTAAAAATTAATTTTTGTAAACACTTTCAAATGAAATAAACTTTTTCAAGTCGAATATGAAAAATCTCATACTTTGTGAGAAATGATTGTTTAGATAAATACAATTTTTTATATAGAAACATCACTGTTAAATAAATAAATAAAGACCACAATGGATTATTAACAGAAAATAACTTTATATACCCTTTTTTATCACCAGATGGCTCCGGGAGCTCACAATCCAAAATTAGGCGTGGAGGTGAAATAATGGTTCTGAAAGAAATAGATGGTTCAAATGAGCATGGTTGTATGGCGGGAGGAATATCAAGCGATGAAGGAACTCAGAGATCGTCATCTTCAAATAGCCATTCTCGTCCTATTTCATCAGCTCTTCTTGGTGGTGGTGGTAAGCAACAAAATTGAACCATATTCACTGCTTACCTGCTCAATAATGCATTATTGAAGATTAATCCCATTTTATGAAAAAAAAAGTTTTGATTCTGCTGCTGACCTTGGAACTATTTCTTCTATGAGCGATCGTGATTAATCAAATTACCACGATTACAGTATTCACTACTGCCGGACATTACAATACCAATCACAACAAGTTTTTCTGAAGAAGGACGTCCAAATTAATCTTTGACCACACAACTTGACAGATTTTCCACAGTACGTGCGCATTTAGGCAAATCAAAGGCACAAAAGTCAATTGGAACTAAATCAATATAATATGTATGTGGTCAAATGAATTCAAACTACAAAGAAACTACTCGCAGTTTCTTTGTAGTTTGAAGTTTATGAATTTTTGACACGTAAACGTTCGCTAACTCCAGTTTCTTGTTTATTATCATTTAAACGGTACTGATGTTTAATAGTAATGTCCTATTTTTGATTGGAGCTACTCTTTCACAGCTATAACATTTACTTTGTGGATGAGGACGTTGCTCTGTATTGAGCTGGGGTGTGGATTCGGATACGGTTGCTGTACTAAACGTTTTGTTGGGCGAGCTTTTCAGCTTTATTGGAAAACATTAAAGGCGATCTACTTTGGAAGATTGTGTTCTTTGATTCTACATAATTTAACAATTTCGCTGTAGGATTATTAATTCAAGCAACTGTTGTGACAGGTATCTCCAGCCGTAGGTTAACGTGACGTCATTGCACTGCCGGATGATCGGGAATTCGCTGTATACAATATACATATAGGTGTGTTGAGGTGTCGTCTATGGCGCTATGGTTCGGATATACAGCGACAAGCTACTGCATAAACACATGTAATTCATTAATTTAAAGTTTAATTAACCTTCTGTGTAAACAGCAAAACACAGGTGTGAGGACGTATATTCGAAAATGATCTGCAGGTTTAGTAGATTTTCCAGTAATTTTGTGATAATAGTACTGGAGCAAAATGAGAATGCTTGTTAATTAACTCCAGTGGTCAAGACCACTGATTCAATGTTCATGAATATTTTACAGATAATCCAGCCTATTCTATAGAAACCTCACCAAAGTCACATGCTGTAATTCATCAGTTTATCATTTTATTTCCTTACATTTAATCATAGCGTTCTATTTATTACCACGTCCATCATGTAACTTGTACAACTAAAAGAAAAATTATATACCGTTTTAATATTAATAGCATGTATGTGAAATTCTAACATACTATAGCTATATGACTGTTTTTAAAACTGTATTAAGATTGAGGCGATTTTTACGTTGCTGTATATTTTGAGTTGTCACAGACTTCTTTAGGTAGTATAACTTCCGTACTGTATGCTAAGAGAATATAATCAAGAGTGTAGATAGGCCCAGGTAGTCTTAAGCCTACTTTGCATTTGTTAGTGTTTTATTCGTATGTTGCATTTCACGGAAACATTTTCTTAGTATTTGTTGGGTTTGATTCTCTATTAATAATCAATTGTCGTTTATTATGCTAGCAATAATGTTGCTGTTAAAAGTTTTTAATTTTTTATGAGGGGCTTTGTAATTAACAGGTCTGTCACGCGAACAGGAACTTCATCCTTATGCTTTGCCCTATGACACAATAGCTGTACCAGAATTCCACGTCAGTCAACCAAGCACATCTGCATCCCACACTCTCAATCGACGATGTGGCGACGCGAGAGGAGACAACATCTACGTAAGCAGGCAGGTAAATTTACTCGTTTAGCATAACACTAAATATTGATTCCAAATTAACATTAATTTCAATCTAACCAAATATTAAACATTTATTTTTCGAATATATCTATACTAAAAGAAATATATAGTCGCGAGTGTATATTCCAAGTTTTTTCATGTTTAATACTATTATTTATCGTAATTTTGATTTTATAAACACCCGGTTTTTATGTAATATATATATATATTGTTACTTGTTTAGAGACAGGAGAATCAAAAAGTTTTTGTAAAATAACAACTAAGCTCATACACATGTTAAAGTTTGAAAGTTGAAAATGTGAAAGTAAAAGAAACTAGGAAATTTATTTCGCGACGTTTAAATATTGCAGTTTTTCGTTCCACTTTTTTATTGTATTCAAGCATACAAACGCGAAAAGTATAAAACTTTTTTAAAAGAACTTTTACAAACGTTTCAAGATATGTCCGTACAATCGACGTCTCTGGAAACACCAGAAGTTCCTGGAAGGCCATCACATCTGCTTGTCTCTAATCCATGGCCAGGCATATCTAGTGGTTAGCATGCCTGAATCTTGGATCCGAATATTCGCGACTTTTTGTCATAAAAATTTGCTCGGCACTTGGGGCCGTGGATGTTCCACAAGAATGACGATGAGAGTTTGTGGATTTGTACTGTTGACCAGCTGTCTTGCATATAGTCTATCAGTTCAAATTTAGGAACGGTTATGCGGAGGTAGATCAACCTTATGTAGCCTTGCACGAACCTACTAAAGCAAACAAGTGACTATAGCGTATTTATGTTTCTAGTATTTACTGCCAATTTTTATATTTTATTCTAAATGCATTTATTTTATTTGCACACACACCTCTTATCATTATTATTTTCACTCTTTCTTGCAATAGCGGTTTATTTTTAAGCTAGTATTAGTCTGTCAAAAAAATCTTCTAGAAAACTTGTTTAACATAATAACAGTTCTTTTTTTATATTATAAGTCTTTCAGGTGTTAAACGATATATCTTTTTTACCAGTGCCGTCCTGATCGACCCTATGAGGCACTGAAGCCCGATGTCCTGCCGCCTTCAACATCGAGACCTTTTGTCTGCGGAAGGATACGTAAAGAATCAGACTGGTCATCATATACATAATTTTTTCAAAGTGTGATTCTTGATCTATGAAAATATATATTTCCTTTTACTTATTTCACTTGCTCCCTTGTTATGTGGATCCAAGAATTCATTATATGTTGTTTTATTATTTTTTAATTAATATTGTGTGTACTTCAATAGATTATATTTGCTAGTCTTACAAGGTTTCGCTGACACCTCACGTTATATTTAAGATATAAATCAATATGCCACAGTTTCAAAATTTTCTTATAAATTAACTCTATGAAAAATAGTGCTAACAAAAAAGATTTAGTAAAAGAAATAAAAAAAAGTTTAAACAATGCATTTCTAACAGAAGATGGTCAGCCGTGGCATGGTGGTTAGCGTGCCGAGCTGTGAATCTGAAGGTCTAAGGTAAGAGTAGCGATATCTTGCTGAACACATTCATCACATTCAACTTTTTTGGGGCTCTATATTTATGACAGACAGTTTCGCTATTTCGTTAAGAGTAGCCATGTAGTAGGCCAGTGCTATTGACTGGTAGTTTTCCTTCTAGTAAGCACTTCTAAATTATGGATAGTTATATTTATTAAATATTTGCGTGTCTTGACTGGATGTTTTGCCAAATGCCGTATATTTGACAAATTTTTGATAAATAAATAAATGCTCGTTGTAAATAATATTATCATGATGAATGCGCGAAAATGCTGTTAGCTGTTTTGAAAACGCCATTTCACCTATTTAATGAAAACAAAATGCTCGTATTTTTTATACTTCTTGAGACGTCAAGCGTTTACTTGATTGCCGAAATTATACTTAAAATGTAAGAATTTATTCCATACCTCAAAGTCTTGATCATCTTTTGATACGTTTAGTTAATGTAATTTATATTGAATTCTCAATAACTGTAATAAAACTCCTTTTCTTGAACAAAATATTAAACTTCTTATGATAGCATTTTTACAAATTGTTCAGTATTTGAACAACATTAATTTAACACTAAGGAAATATTAACAGTATTTATAGCCGTAATTACATAGCCGCGCCTGTAACAAAATAAATGAATGTTTATGTCTGTAACACCTGATTTAATCTCGTGTATTTACAATATTCGTCTACAACTCGATAAATTTCCCATATGCTACATTTGATAGCGAAGATTCTTATTATTCATTCCAAATTACAAATATTAAGATTTGTATGATACAATGAATTATGTTCTTGAATGAAGAGAAGAAATGTTCAAAATGTAAAGATAAAGCTGTTTAAATTTATCGTGAATATTAATGTCAATATAATGCCTTCATTCGAAATGCACAGTGAGCAGTAGTGGTTACTGTGTTGGGCTGTGGATTGTCCCATTTATGACGCGCCCACATCTCAGAAATTTGCTGATCGTGTTCAGTAGCATCACGTCTCGAACCCTAGACCTTTTAATCCATACCCCGCTTTTAAAGCTAACTACTAGGTCACACTCGGCCTGAAAGCTATTATTAGTACCAAGTATGAGCATATATACTACGATTAGTGTCGTTCGTTACATCCATTTTTTTTCTGACAACCCAAATCAAACTGGTGATGTTTATTAGGTTATGATTCAACTAAGATCGTGCGTTAATGTTTTTTTTTTCACTACTCTAACGAATCAATACAATCGAATGTGTTTAGTGTTACTAGTGACGAATGATTTTAAGTTGTAAAATCAAGTTTTTGTACGTTCTTGTATTTTTCATGTAGTTTTTGATTGGACGTTTTCTTCCTCTTGAAAATTTTAATAGCCTAAGAGAGTAATGTCTTATAAACACAATGTTATAGATCTTGCAAGTTTACTTAAATGTTTACTAGGATATTCAAGGTACGTGTAAGTGTGCTTTTAAGTGTCACATAAACCATTGGCTTCTGTATAATACTGTACATTCGGTTTTAGTGAAAATTTTAGAGCAAAACCTAAAGTTATTGTAACAAAATTGAAATATTATTTCGTGATGCACGCTCAAATTTCTCAAAAGGTTATTTTTCACATATAATCAACATTTCCGAAATTACGAATTTAGAATAAAACTGAAAATATCTAGTTTTATGGAGTGTTACGTATTAAGATTTCAAATGGCCTTAAATTTAATTAAATGATACTTTAAATTAGTAGTTAAATTTTACTTTGGATTTAGCAGTTAAGTAAAAGCCGATATATAGTCAGTTTATGATATTTGCCAACATGATTGATACACACAGTTTTCTTTTTTAACACAAATATGTTTTAATATACAAACAATACAATTTACAATAACTGTTATTACAAATAGTTGTTACACACAATAATTTATATAAAAAATTTTACAAACTTAAAAGCAATATAAAGTCCTCTTTGTAGTCTGGAACTTCCTTGATATCTTATCGAGGGTTCACGACGAGCGAGTTAATTACGAGTTGACGTAGGTAGAATTCGTTTAACGGGAAGCTAGCTAGCTTTGTCCTTTGTTATTTACCAGCCACACACGCCGAATTTTCCACCGTTGAAGTTAGGTAATGTTTTCGTAAAAGTAATAATGTCCGAGGAGAATTCACTGAAGTTAAATGATTTGTAATGTTCGAACTTTGTAAATGCTCCTGGTCAAATATCTGAAGTTTTCCGATTGATAAGC